TAGCACTAGAATAACCACATCATCACATTGTTATCGAATTAAAATCTAATGATATAATTTAAATAAAAGTGAAAGTTTAATATTATAATAAAAATAATTTAAAAAACTTGATAATAGAAACGACACACACCGCCTAAAGTTTAATAATATCTTAGATGGTTTACCTAAAAATTTAGCCTGCGTTATTCTTTAATGGGCCATTTTAAACCCAATTTTATCTCGTGGCCCGAGACGAAAACCGAACCAACCCAACGGCCTTTGAACCCAAAACAAAAACCAAGACGCCGGATGCCGACTCGACTCTCACCCAGTCGAGTCCCACTCTCTTGCCAAATTCATTTCCCAAGTTTCATTCACTACTTAACGGAACCGTCTCTATTCGTCACGGTCATCGTGTTCCGTCACACCACCCTCCCACACTCTGCTCAACGCCTCTCCTTCCTTCCCTAACGTGTTCCGTTCCAACCGTTCCACTTTCCTCCAAAAACTAACCCCAACCCTAACGTTCCTTATGGCCTCTTCCATCGACGACGATTTATCTCTCCTCGACGACCATCAAACTAACCCTAACCACCATCACGTCCTTCATCACCACCACCCTTCGTACGTGCAGATCCACGCGCCTCAACCTGACAACCATGACGCCGATAATGATTCCAGTTCTGCCTTCCGCGGCGCCAGATTCGGCGATAACGCTGTATCGTCGGATTTACGGATCGAGAAGAGAAGAGATCAGGATGAGATAAATGATGGCGCGTTGAAGAGACAGAGGCAATCGACGACGGAGTACCGGAAAGACAGAGAAGAATGGAGCGACGCCGCGATTGGATGTTTGCTGGAGGCGTATATGGAGAAGTTGACGCAACTTAACAGAGGGAATCTGAGAGGGAGGGATTGGGAGGAAGTGGCGGCGGCGGTTAGCGAGCGATGCGAGAAGCAGAGCAAGAGTGTGGAGCAGTGCAAGAACAAGGTTGATAATTTAAAGAAAATGTATAAGCTTGAGAGGCATAGGATGAGTGACGGCGGCATCACTGTGAGTCATTGGCCTTTGTTTAAGAAAATGGAGGAGATTGTTGGGAATTCGTTGCCAGTAAAGGCGGTGTCTGATGAAGATAAGGCTGTAGTTTCTCTAGGAACTGTCGTTAAACAACCCAAAAGGTATATTTAGTTTTATTTTTTGCATTTGTTGTTATTACTTGCTAAAGCTGCTCTTAAATTCTTTAAGGTTTCTTCAGCATCAAATTAGCTGGGGATAATGTGAGCAAAACGTTCTTAGTTTCATTCTTTTGTTCTCGAGTTTGCTAATTTTTATTATGTTAAGTTTAAAGGATGGTAGAAGTACTCAAGAATAACAACTATTTGCCAGTGGTTTCAGTCTTTGTTGATTCTATACGTCTTCATTTACCAATATTGCAATTGAATAGTCCTATCTGCATTTACCAATATTGCATGATAGAAATGCCTATCTGGTTGTCTGATATGTGAGATCATAATTTATGTTTTTTTCAGCAGATATGTTTCAGCTACACCAAGTCCTGCAGGTCAGATAATTATTATGAAATCTAAAACTCCCAAATGGCGCAGAGTGGTATTCAAAATTAGTGGCGCTGCTCTTGCTTGCTCTGGTCCTCACAATATTGACCCAAAGGTTCACCATTTTTATCTTATATACAGTTAAGTTAGGATACCATCATTATAACTGAATTCCTCAATCAGCTGTTTCTGTCTGATTATCAGGTGGTGATGCTGATTGCAAGGGAAGTTGCAATTGTGTGCCGCCTTGGTGTGGAGGTGATCATTACTGCTTTCATATCTTATGATTGCAGATGTTTGCATACCTTTTAACATGCAATTGTTTTCAATTTCTCTGTGTGTGTGTGTGGGGGGGGGGTGATGTTCCAGGTAGCAATTGTTGTTGGAGGTCGCAATTTCTTTTGTGGAGACACATGGGTTACGGCAACTGGTTTAGATAGAAGTACTGCATTTCAAATTGGGTAATGTGATTACTACTGAAATACACTTTTTTATCTGCATGTCAGCTTCGGGCTAATTGATATATATATATATGAGTGTGTGTGTGTGATTAAAATCCCATTAAGGCTTTTAAGATGAAGTATGCTGATGTAGAGCTGTCATGTATTGTACATTGACACAACACCCTGTGCTAATTTGACAAGTCTTTAGGTATGATTAGACACTGGCACTTTTTGGTTGTTTCTGTAAATGACTTCAATTGGGTGGTATATATATGCCTTGATGCTTGGTAAGCTGTTGCTTGTTGTATCGAACTAAACAGAATAAAATCATGGAATGGGTCACATGAAAGGATCTTAACTAAAAAATCGGTTTATTATTTCTGAACTGATATTCAAGCATTATGGTCCGACTATGGAAACTTTATATTATTCTTGTCCTTGATGTTAAATATGTAGAAGATAAGATTGGATTTCCAGCAAAAGTTATTCGCTAACCTTATTACAGCAGCTATCTTAAGGAGTACAAAGTCCTCGTTGATGCTCTAAACAAACATAGGTTTGGTGTTGGAGAAGGAGAGGATGGATGCAACAAGTACAAGGAGGATGCAACAATTGGAAAAATGATATAAAAAAAGTTGTTTTTCTATTTTGAGAAAATTATACCGTGAATATTTTCTAGACGAATCTTTGATGGAATCAGTTCGTTCGAGTTTTTTATGTTGACTATGATGCTGCCAGAATAAATATGTTTATGCACTTATATGCGCACGTCACTTTATGGTACTAATCAAAACTGTGACCCTGCAATTTACTGCAGCATGATGGCATCTGTGATGAATTCTATACTATTGCAATCATCATTAGAGAAAATGGGTGTTAAGACCCGTGTGCAAACTGCATTTTCGGTGCAAGAGGTTGCCGAACCATACAATCGGCAGCGGGCCATTCATCATCTTGAAAAAGGTAGAGTTGTAATATTTGGTGGCATTGGCACTGGAAATCCACTCTTCTCTACTGACACAGCTGCAGCACTTCGAGCTTCAGAAAGTATGGCTCTCTTTCTTCCTTCTTTGAGAATTCAATATCTTGAACTACATGTAATTCTCTTAGACACAAGCACACGCAGACACTATTTTTGTTCTCTACATTTGACATGTCTGCTCGTTGTTCAGTTCATGCAGAGGCAGTTCTTAAAGGTATGAATGCTGATGGGATTTATGACTGCCCCTCCCAGGACAACAATGCTACATTGAGCATATCTCCTTTAGAGAATTAGTCTCTAGAGGTGCCACAGCCATGGACATGATGGCACTGACCTTCTGTGAAGAGAACAGCATTCCTGGTTGGTATATTTGTTGCATTCAATTATGTTTTACGAAGATTAAAGCTGGTCCAATTGTTTTAATTCTTTGGTTTGTAAAAAGTTTTAGATCTGAGGCTAATGTTTCATCTCAAGTCCGGAAGGTCTCTCTGATGCAAATTCAATCAATTTTATTTGATGCAGTTGTGGTCTTTAATCTTCTTCAGCCTGGAAATATCTCAAAAGCATTATGTGGAGACGAAGTTGGTTCATTGGTCGATCAAACCGGAAGGATCTAGTTGTTGTGACCGTTGATGTTAAGTCAGATTCTGTTAATATATTTTAGTAACAAGAAGAGTTGCTGTAAATTTGGCCGCTGCGTTTCTTCAACTGAGGATTGGGCTGATTCAAAGACTTGATGATGATGTAACATTTGGATGCCAGGTCTGCCACACCAATAACTCCATAGCTAATAACTTCATTTCACGATCTGTATTATCTTATAGTGCAATTATCTATATTTAATTTGATGTGTTAGAAATAGATTCAACTTATTGAACCATCAGCTTTGGTAGATGGTTGTTGCAGTGTATCCTTAGTGATTTACGAGAACATTGGTGATAATTGTGAGTAGAGTTTGTAGTTGACTGATAATACTCTTGGATCAGAATTAGAATTGGATTTTAGTAATAGGAGGTTGTCACAAGCTGAAAATTATTAATGACACCATGTATTGGAAAACATTATTATTTAAAATTAAGGATGCATCTCTCAAACTGCGTACAATTAGTATCATTTTTATTGCTTGGAATTCAAGAAACAGAAGGGTGAAAACATCTCTCTTCACTGTATCTCTTGAATCATTTATGTATATCCCTCGGATGGTGATTCTTCTGCATGCACTTCCAGTTTCTATATATATACACATTCAATAACCCTTGTTAGAAAACATTATGGTTACCCCTTACCCAACAATTAAATTACTACATGTAGAAAACATTTAAATATTTTTTACTATTTTCTTAAAAAATGTTTAAGATATCTAAAACAAGTTGGATTTTCTTGAACCAATTCTGGTTTGTTCACTAAATTACTAAATTTGAATTCAATTTTATTTGAGTAAATAAATCTTCAATCTAAAGCTTAATCCGAGTATTGTTTCAAATAGCTGGTGATCAGTAGCTGTTATGAACAATATTTTTTTTTACCATTTTTAAGAAGAAAGGGAAGGAATTATGCTGGATCTAAACCATGGACTTGGTACCAACAAAAACCTTTTATTACTAAATTAATAATTTATAGACTATTATGAACATTTAATTCAATGAAAAAGATGAGATAAATTATAGACTCGATGCACCTCCCTAAAGGTTATATATCCATATCGATTTGCACATAAATTTATAGCATTCGACATGTCCATCATCCCATGAAATTTGTTTAACAATTTTTCTTGGATCTAATACAAAGAAAATGACTGCAAAAAAACTGTGTACACAGCTAATAAGTTAGAAGTGAGTGGACCGTGCATTTCATAACTTTTTCCAATGATAAATTTGATAATGGTGGCAGGTGGGACGACCAAAAACATGTAAGATTCGCCAAATCTCTTAATTTCCACAAACAGTTATTCGATACAAAATACGTTTATAAATTAATCAAATTCCATTGATATATACAATTTGATCAAAGGTGTAGCAGGAAAAACAGAGCTTTCCCGGAATTCAAACTCTCAGGGAATGGAAATCACAAGTACTTTGCTTCTATGTTTGATTCTCTTCTCGTTTGTAGCTTTAAGTAAGCTCTTATGGCGAAGACAGTCTCGGAAAGTTCAAAATCAGCAACCACCAGGACCCCCAGGATGGCCAATATTAGGCAACTTTTTCGACCTGGGAACTTTGCCTCACCAGACCCTATCAAGCCCAAGTATGGACCAGTTCTTGGTTTGAAGCTTGGGTCAGTAAACACCGTGGTGATACAGTCGGCCGTGGCAGCCTCCGAGTTGTTCAAGAACCATGACCATGATTTCTGTGATCGTAAATGTCCCATTGTGCTGACTGCTCATAATTACTGTCAAGGAACGCTTGCATTTGGCAGATACGATAAGTCCTGGAGCAAGTTTCGCCGCATTTGCTCCATGGGACTCTCGGCGAACCGACAAACCAACGAGATGGCTCGTCTCCGACAAAAGTGCATCGACGACATGGTTCGGTACATCCAGGAAGATGCAGCAGCAGCAGCACGTGAACGGGGAGAAGAAGGTAAGGTAAACTTGGCTCACTTTCTTTTCCTTATGTCGTTTAACCTTGTTGGCAACCTGGTGTTATCAAGGGATCTTTTAAGTTCTCGATCAGAGGAAGGGAAACAATTCTTCGACGCCATGAACGAGGTGATGGTATGGGCCGGGAAGCCAAACTTGGCCGATTTCCTACCAGTGTTGAAGTGGTTGGATCCCCAGGGGATCAAGAGGAACATGGTGCGGTACATGGGTCGAGCCATGAAAATTGTGAGCAGCTTTGTTAATGAGAGGATTGATGACCTGAAGCTCGCCAAGGAAAAGACAACCAAGGACTTTTTAGATACATTGCTGGAGCATACAGGTGAAGGAAAACAAGGGCCTGCCACAATATCGAATCACAATGTTATCATAATCATACTGGTATAACTGCATCTGCAACAAGAAGATTATTGGACATTATTGAATATGTATGTATCATTCTTTGTACAATGGGCATTGTTGTTGTGTAGGAAATGTTTTTCGCCGGCTCGGAAACAACAAGCAGCACCATCGAATGGGCAATGGCAGAGCTCCTCCGTAATCCCGAGTCAATGGCAAAGGCGAAACAAGAGCTCAACCGAGTTATTGGGGCAGAAAGGAAAGTTGACGAGAGTGATACGGATAATCTGCCATACTTGCAAGCTGTGATAAAAGAAACGCTGAGATTACACTCTGCGCTTCCTTTACTCCTTCCTAGGAATGCCATGCAAGAGACCAAGTATATGGGGTATTTCATCCCGAAAGGGACACAGATTTTTGTGAACGCATGGGCAATCGGAAGAGACCCGGAATCATGGGAGGATCCCTTGGCATTCAAACCCGAACGATTTTTAGGGTCAAATATAGAGTACAAGGAACAGAATTTCGAGTTGATCCCTTTTGGTTCAGGTAGAAGAATTTGTGTAGGCATGCCAGTAGCTCACAAAGTAGTTCATCTTGCTCTGGCTAGCTTGCTTCATTCCTTTGACTGGGAGCTTGGGAACAACTTATGTCCCGAAACGATCGATATGAATGAAAGGGTGGGGATTACAGCTAGAAAGCTCATACCAGTGGAAGCGATACCAAAGAAACGATTGTGTATTCATGATCATGCATGATTTGTCGTTAAAAATGAATTTTAGAAGATGTTTTTCACCTGTTTTTGTATTTGGGTTTGAGTTCGAGTGGACTAGAACCCGACCCATCATCATTCCTAAATCCAACCTATAGATAAGTTAACATAAAAAAAAATTACCCTATTATTCATGGAATGCTTAATGATGCTGATTATCTTATGAGACTAGGGCGAGCTAATGTTACTACAGGAAATATTTGCTACCAATGGCACGCAACTCAAATTCAGAAACTATACATGGCAAGATACTCCATTCTGATACTCGAACGTTAGTTCGAAACATGAACCGGTTTCTTCATTGAAAAAAAGCCTAATGGAAGTATTCAACATCGTTTGAGGAAGTTGATTGTTTTCCTAAGTGATATCTTTTGTTTAAAAATTACGTATTGCTAGCTCAACCAGAATTGACATAGAATTTGAAGAGTGCGAAATTAGATCACTGATAGAAAATATAAAGAAAATACTTGAATTACATAAGAATTTAAGATTGTCGCACCCTTCGATCCATCCCTAAATTCGACAGACTCAAAAAGTTATACTATTGTGCGCTCCCTCGATCCTACAGACATAATTAAGACCCACGAGAATGTCGATAATAGCTGCTTCTGTTTTTGCTCGATTAGCAAAGTGGAGTGTTTGTACCAAGAGCACATTAGACCGGGAAACCATATGCTGTTCCTCGAAACTGCGCTCAAGCTGCCACCTAATCATGTTGTGAGCAAGAGGAGCCAACCATCCCAATATCCGGACTATTACCAGTCTCCATTCTGCAGCAAAGGAAGAAGAGATTACGAATGAAGCCAGAGTCTTTGCATCAGACTTCAGTTTAGCACGCACAGCATTTCTCATACTCCAAGGTAACATATTGTACAGCTTTTCTCTCGAATCGAGGCCGATCATGTGAGGTGCCGAAGCTAGTTTCTCGATCATGATAATAATATGTGCATATCGGAGACATAACGCAACATCACCGAGTGTTGATGTAGGAGCATCCAACAAGTGCTTGGTATTGAAAACGCATAGTTTAGAATAAATTTTATCGTTGCCGAATAATGACTCCATCTTTGTGGTGTAAGCACCAATAAACCTGAAAGATCCACTCCCGATTGTCTCGCAACTGTCGAAAATCAGAGAATTACTTCCGGCTGACACACATCGTCTAAAAGGTCCAACTCTGACGTGATTGGACCGTTTGGTTTTCGAATATGACCGCGATGAACATGGTATTAGAGCCGAAAATGAATCGCTCGGCAAGAGACAGGGACTATTCTTTCCATCTAAAGACACCATTTGGTTGGTTCGGAAGACATATTTGATCCTCTCGAGTATTGTCAAAAGTGTTCTCAACAGAATCCGGACAACAAAATCATATGTTCGAGCCCATGGAGACGTCTCCCGTAGTTTTTTAACTTCCCGCCGCTGCAACATTACTTTCTTTCGACACTCGAGTAATTTATCCTGGTCACACTTGGCATTTCTACGCATCCTCCTAAGAGTTCGCTAGAGTTCTGCCAGCACTTCCGACTCTCGACTCAACTGCATCATGACAGCAACGAACCTCTCCATCTTCTTTACTTTCCTCTCCATCTTCTTCAAGCGATAATCCCAGCCGAGCCAGTCTAAATTGTTCGAAATCGGGTCTATTACGAAATGTTCGAAACAGTGATACACGGGGTCAGTGCATTTCTTCCCGAGCCTGGCCACGGATGTTGCCAGAGTTCCGAAATTCTCTATTATCTCATTCAGTGCAAGATCCATAAGGTAATTTTGATTGTCGGATACAAGTCTTCGGATTCCGACTGAGTTTGTGATCTGTTTCCTCAACTTCAAGATCTCCCCATCATCCAGAAAATGCCACAAACTCACCGCCTTAGACATCAAACTGGCAACTTCGAATGCCAAGATTCCAAGCACCTTACCATTACTCTCTGAACTACTCTTCCTTGGATTCAACCATGAACCACCAAACCACGACTCCATCACTAATAAATCCGTACTTAATATAAAATCCTGCGTCCCTACTCTTGTATATAGACAATCCAAAATTACCAAAACCCAGAAATTATAAGAGCAAAAAGAAAACAACAATGCAATAAGTAAACCAGTAAAAAGGTTGCACTCAAATTACAAGGCATATAACCATACAGGTGTAAAAAGCAAAAAAAGACAGGTTACATCCCCGCAAGCAACAATGAAGTCAAGAAGAACGATTTGGTTAGGTTTCCCACAGCAATAATGTTGACGAAAACGGGTAAAGAAAACAAAAGAACACAAGAATTTTACGAGGTTCGGCAATATGCTTACGCCCTCGGTGCGCGCTAGAAGTTTTTATTCAATGATTGAATTTTTTAGGTCTAGGTTACATCTCTATTTATAATAGAAAACCCTGGTACATAATTACAAAATTAATCTTGTATCGTACCGCGGGGTTGCGCCCCCGCACCCTCAACCCATATAATTCGTAACCCCACAACGAGACTTTCTTTGTAAGGACAGTTAACGTTCGCTTCGCTCACTCCGCTCCATCTCCTGTCCTCTTTACTGGTATATTTATGAGCCATACCTAACAAATAAGCTGAGACCAATGAAGTTTAGCAGAAAGGAGAAGAAGGCATGGTAATAAACGTGATAAAAGACGAAGGAAGAGACAAAAAGAGACAGAAAAACTCGAAATCGGTCGAACCGAAGCTAAAAATAGAAAGGTAGAGTGCGGATTTTTGGGTTTATGCTGGTGGATATCAAGGAAGATGTTTGATGGATAAATTAAAGAACCATTGAAGGATCGCTTCATTCTGTTGTTATGTGCTTTGTTTCACGTTAATCTCAAGTGAGCATTTTGAAGAACATATGCTTTTTCTTAAGCATTGGAAATTGATCTGTCCAGTTTCAATGTACTCCAAGGCTATACATTTCTACGAAAAAGGAAATAATTTCAAGCAATTGTGACACACACACACATATATATATTATAGGAGTTTACGGTCTTGGAGTTGAAAGAGAATCAAATTTATCAGTTCAAAATAGGGAGAAAAACATAGAGTTATTTAGCAACCACATTTAAATGTGATTGGTCAAGTTATTTACACTTTCCTAGAATTACTGGTTTTCATTCTCTTCTAAATAAAATTAGGACTAGATTTAAAAATTGTCAAAATTATAGAGTTCTTAAAGATATAAGTTTGACCTAATTCGACACGAACTCGAATGTTTAAAATTAAAAAATTTAACCCAACCGTTAAATCAAATCAAATCGGAATCCGTCAAGTAGCGTGAAATAATCATCCTATTCTACTGTAATAATATGTGTACTCAAGAATAGACTAAGAGACAAACGACTGTCCACCATAAAAATTTAAAATTATTATATATTTAAAATTATATATTTTTATTGAAAATATTTTTTATCACCTAAAATTTTATAAATTTATCTATTTCTAATTTTTTTGAAATTTGTCTCCTAACGTAAAATTTTACACTACTTAACTTAGTTTATCACATTTGCTAATTGTTTTTTATACACAACAATGGGTGTAGCTACGGGCTTTGTATCAGTTATCTGTGTCTTGTGCAACAACTCAGTGGTTGACCGGTGGTGGAGAATGTGAAGCGGTGGCATCTAGAATCACAAAGCGATCGAGTAGAAGAAATATTTAGGTGGGTATGAGAAAACCCAAGTGTAAGCTAAAGACATGAATGAATATGATATTGATTAGTGATTAAATTATATATTATATTGTGATTAATTATTCCTTAATTAGTTATTTTAAATTGGTAACTTAAACTTTTCATTTATTTTTAATGTGGGACAGTATATTTCAAAAACGTTGCTAAAACTGATGAAATTGTGTAATTTTTTATTTTCTATAATTATGACTGGATTAGTGGGTATAACTTAGGGCATGACTTCGCTGACTTGACATCCAGTCAACAACTTCTAGAAGATTCAATCAACAGTGGCGTGAAGACCAAAAAGTCAACCGAATTTTTGAATTCAAATTAAGATTTATTTTATTTTAAGAATTATCTTTTTAATTTTAAATATATCTTTTAAGGTTTTAAGCTTCAATGGATCATTGAGATCATTAACTCTTGAACCGTCTTGTTTCTTTCTCTCTTTAGATTAATAAAAGTTTTTCTTTCGCTTATTTTACTTTCAAGTTTAATTTATTTTCTTTTAAAATGTTAAGTATGTTTTCTACCATGCTTAGCTAAGTTTTCCATAGTTAAAGGTTAAAACGATGAATCAATTCTATTTGTGAGAATTGAAAAAACACCTCATACCCTCTCGAGTTAAATTCTAAATTTTCTTGAAACTAGATTGGGGATTGGTTTTTCCTAAAATCAAAATGCTTTCACTTCAAAAATATATTTTGGTTTGGATGTTGTTATGGTTTAACGTTGGGATTGCAGAATCAGTTGATTTGAATTCCCTTGAATACACTTAGCGATGGCACGCTAAGAGAAATTGAGATCGAGTTTGACTTTCATAGATAAAGCATAATTCGAGTCGGGTTTTTCCAAGCGCTTTTAAATTATTTTGAATTAACAACGATAATCGAAATTAATTTGAACAAGGATTGCGATTCCTAAAATAAATTTGGAAAAATCAATCACCAAAGAAAAAAAAATGAATTACAATAATTGAACCTTGCAAACTCAAACCGACATTTAACTAGAGGAAAAATCCTATTCAATGATCGATTGGAATTTGAAGAGGCTAATTTTATCATATTGATTTTTAATTTTACTTTCTTCAATTCTTTATCTTCCTTTAAAACATTATTTGCTTATTTAATTTTTCAACAAACCCCTTTTTACTTTATTTGTATTTTTTTACCTAAATCAAAAATCAAGAACAATCATTTCATCATCGAAATTTATTCTCAATATACTATTATATTTATTTTTATTGAGATTAAGTTTAAACTTTGACATCAAAACGATATGTTATCAGATATATTCATTATTTGGGAATTGAATAATTTGTATCAAAGTCTATAATACAGAATTTACTCATTTTTAACAATTAGATCCAACTGTGATGCAAAGTTTTCTACAACTATGCTTTAAAAGATATGCAATTATTTCTTAAAAAATTCCATCTAAGTCCGTTAAGTCAAAAACTTCAAAGGTATGAGAGGCAAAAGTTCAAACTTTGCAACGACAGGTGGCGAAAACCCAGAATAACAACGTGGCAGACAAGAACCTTCCAGCACCACGTCTCGATGCTTCTTTCAAGTACTTTCTAGTATCTGATTCTAATGTCTGTATTCGAACAATATCCACTTTCTAGTTCTTTCGCTTTCTTTCTATAAATCATCAACTCTAATCCAATATCTTTGTATAGCTGGAAAACATCATAAGATCCAAGATATTTCAGAGATGCAACCAGTCGACAACAAAAAGGAAGACAAGAAAGCCACCGTCGTGCAACGTGCAGTTAGCTCTGACGAAGAGGGTCGAAAGAAAGCTGAAAGGGAAGAAATGCCAACGCGGAACATAGACACCATTAAGTACTTGGAGAGAAAGTTGGAGGACAAAGGGATACAAAGGAGGGAAAGACACCCGGCTGACGGGATAGGGATCGGTCGGCCACCTCCGAAGTCGGGTCATGGAGGGAAGTACACGTGGGAAGGACCAGATGGGGTGGCGGAGAACGAGCTGACGGCGGTGCCACCAGCTATCGACGAGAAAGATCCTAACTACGTGAACGAGGAGGAAGAAGAGAAGGTTGTGAACGACGTGGGTGAGCTGGTGGTCGGAGAAGTGGATGTTGCAAAGGCTGCCGAGGATCGAAAAGGGGTGGCTAGAGTTGAGGTGGATCCTCACCTGGAGGTTTAACTAATTTGATTTGATATGTGTGATTTACTTTTATTTTTATTTGAGCTTGCTTGTTGTTTGGTTGCCTTTACTGGGCAACTTTCGTGTGTTGTAACAACTAAGGAATAATGTAATAAGAAAATTGGATTAACCCTCTGTGTTTGTAGCTGCAGTCCTTTTTTTTTTTCCTATTAGATTTTATAAACTAATTCTTTGTTTTATTCATAGCTTATTGCAAGAGTTTAGGTTTTACTTGTTTGTATCCAACTTCCATCTCTAATTCAAATTACCAGTTTTATTGAGTCAAATGAACACTAAATGTGCGTTTAAGAGATGGAAAACAATGAGTCCAAAATTTTGAGACCCAAATATTATGATCGACGATGATCATCAACAATTTGCATGATTAGTAATGACGATGATGAGTGATGATGAATTTCTCGTCGAATTTAAGGTTAAAAAAATGTTTTATTTAAAATAAAAAAGTTAATTTAATTATTTTTATTATTTTTGGATAAATTTCAATTGTATTATTTATGAAGCATAAAACCGCTATAAAGTTATAAAGTAAATGAGATTACTAACAAAAAATTTAGGGAAATCTCATGTTATCCAAAGTTTATTATTTATAACGTCTGAGCAATTAAACTAATTGCTGTTAATTTTGACTCTAACAATCTGTTTTATAGCTTTCACAGTCCGAGATCTACCTATAAATAGGTGAACATTTTTCTCTTCCCAAACATAATAGATATGAACACACCAAACAAGTTTTAAACAAGGACTTTCCCTTTTAGACAAGAAGCAGTTCAAAGAGAACTAACAAGGATTTTCCCTGTCAGACAAGAAGCTCAATCTGTAACATCTTTTCTCAAATTATAAAGTCTCAAAATCTTCCTCCAAACACAACACAAAAATGGATAGTTGGAAAAATAAATGATCTTTAGTTTCTAAAATAGCACTCCAAATCGCACAATTCCGAAATATTCATTTTCAAAAACTTCTCTTGACCAATCAGGTAATGATCGAATAACTAGGAATGTGTAGGGGAAACCAAATTACCTTTTATCAGGGGACATAAGGTTCTCTTCTCTTTATCTCATACGCCAGTCAAACAGCTTTAACCTACAAACGACGACTTTTTCTCTCATTTTGAATATCTTCTTTAGGCTTCAACAAACAATGCTGTTACAATTTATCTGCCAAAAATATGTACCTTTGACCATATAAGGATGTATCCAAACCACTTAAAGAGACTCAACGAGAACCCTCTTGGACAAGTAGACTTCGATAAGCTGCATCAAAAATTACATATTCTTCAAGAACGTTTTAGCATTTTCAATCCTAAGTTTTGTTTTTTTATCTTTTGTCATCATCTCATAGTTCGAAACTAATATATATACTAAAAATTAAAAATTTCTTAAACAAGTTAATGCATCTTGTCATGGAGTTAAATCATAAGAGAAAAGATAAACTACATATTTAATTATTTATTTATGTAATTTTATTTTGTCATTTATTTTTTTTAAATTATATGTAACATTATGTTTTGGAACAAGTCATTAAAGAATTGATGGTAATATTAACATGATAATTTATTTTTTCAATAATAACATAATATTATTTTAATATAATATATCAACATCATCATAACATTATCTTAAGTTGATATCAATATATCGTTAATTTTTTTAATAGTATGTACTTAAAACATAATACTAAGTGTAATTTAAAAGAAAAGGATAAATGATAAAAACGAAACCATGCGAGTAAATGAATCGCTATTCGCTAACTACATAGTCTATCCTATAAAAAATTGCAATACAGGGTGGAAAACTCGAAATATATGAGCCGAAGTGGACGGTAAATGACATCATTCAGCAGTGGAATTCCTTCAGGAAACCAAATGAATGCAATCCCTCCATCTTCTCCTTAGCTATTGACTTCTTCTAGAACCGCACATTTTGTGGTGAAACTAAACCTCATGAGATTAGGAATAAAAAATAACAAGAACAAGAGCTTATAAAAGGCATTGCTATCTCTTCAATCATCCCTCACTTGTTTCAAGTACTCTGCTTCTGTTCTTCTCCGAGATAACAGAAGCAGGACAAAGAAACATTCATTGGCTTTTCTACAAGCAATGCCCTATAGTACATAAGCAGGTCTAGCGTTTTTGTTCCTTCATCCCACAATGCACTATTGCTCTTGACTTCACATTTGGTCTATAACTAGGAAATGGATCGGTTTTCTGCAACGACAATTCTTCCTGATGGATTAATCCAGGGAACGGCAGATGATATCTCCATGCAAATGGTAAGGATTTGGGGTCAAATCAAAACGCCACTGATCGTACCGTTGCTGAGAATCGCTATTGTCATTTGCTTGATCATGTCTTTGATGCTTTTCATGGAGAGGGTTTACATGGGAATCGTGATAATGTTCATCAAGCTCCTTGGTCGAAAACCAGAGGTGAGGTACAAATGGGAGCCATTGAAAGACGATACCGAGTTAGGACACTCAGCTTATCCCATGATTCTGGTTCAAATCCAATGTACAATGAAAGAGAGGTACTTTTCATTCCCAAAATCCTATAACATTTTCTTGTTCCAGTGATCAATTTTGCCTATAACAATGCAGGTTTATAAACTCTCCATTCGAGCTGTATGTGGCCTCTCATGGCCTGCTGATCGGTTCTTTATTCAAGTCCTTGATGATTCAACGGACTATACAATTAAGGTGAATTGATTTGAGTTTTCTGGTTTTGGGTTATCTTGTTTTCTTGCATGGAAATTGACATTTACTGAAAAAACAAAATGAAGCAAATGGTGGAGTTTGAGTGCCAAAGATGGGCACGCAAAGGTATCAACATCAAGTACGAGATACGAGCGAATAGAACTGGGTACAAAGCAGGGGCTCTAAAAGAAGGCCTGAAACACGAGTACGCTAAACGTTGCGATTACGTGGTCATTTTCGACGCTGATTTTCAACCGGAATCCGATTTCCTCAGGCGCACCATTCCTTTTCTTATGCATAATCCTGAACTTGCATTGGTTCAAGCTCGTTGGATATTCGGTAATCCTCTACTAATATTAGCATTGACAAAAGATTACCGAGTCAAACGTTCGAAAACGAGTTTATATGCTGTTGTAGGGTCCCCAACCCAATCGTTGGTCCAAAAAATGTTTGAAAAAACTGCCCTGGAGAAGGGCATGTTTGGGCTTAAACAATATCTAGAGGGTATCTCTCTCTATTCTCACCGGTTAGCATGTGCAATCTCTTGAAAGTGGGACTTGGTCATTATCCATGTGAACATTGATTTTATCATTATGATAAATAAGAGATTTTCATTAATGAATTACAGTGAATGCTGATGAGTGCCTGCTGACAAGAATGCAAGAATGTCACTGGACTATCATTTCACTGTCGAACAAGAAGTGGGCTCTTGCAGCCATGCTTTCTTCGGCTTCAATGGTAAGGAAAAAATGAATAAAATTCAAAAAAAAAAAGACTCTATGGAAATTAATTGATTAAACATGTATAGGAACTGCTGGAGTGTGGAGAATTGCTGCTATAAATGAAGCAGGAGGATGGAAAGATAGAACTACAGTGGAAGACATGGATTTATCAGTTCGAGCTAGTCTGAGAGGATGGAAATTCCTTTACCTCGGAAGCGCTCAGGTATTTTAAAATCAAGTAAAGATCGATATCGAATTGACACTTTTACAGCTAAATATCCAATTTATTTTGCTTACAAATAAAATACAACATTCAGAGTTCTACTGCTGTGACTATAGGTGAAAATGAATTGCCAAGTACCTTGAACGCCTTTCGCCACCAACAGCACCGATGGTCTTGTGGTCCTGCTAACCTTTTCAGGAAAATGTTTATGGAGATTATTACAAACAAGGTTAGATTGGTAGATTTGAGTTAAAAAAGTGTTCAGATATTTTTGGCTTACTGGAATTTAACCCTTTTTCTGATTAAATTTACTACAGAAAGTTACCATATGGAAGAAAATATGTGATCTACAGCTTCTTTGTGGTCAGAAAGATTGTTGGGCACATCGTTACTTTCATATTTTACTGCGTTGTTTTACCTCTAAGTGTTCTTGTACCTGAGGTTGAGGTTCCAAAGTGGGGAGCGGTTTATGTTCCTTGCATTATTACCATGCTCAACGCAGTTGGAACTCCAAGGTCCTTTTTTTTCCTTCAGTTCTTCCCAAATCAATGTTAGAAGAAGACATTCCAGCACTAACCTTGACTATGTTTCTCTTTTCAGGTCAGTTCACTTATTGTTCTACTGGATCCTCTTTGAAAACGTGATGTCATTGCATCGGACCAAGGCTACCTTAATCGGCCTATTCGAAGCCGGTACATCAGTAAACGAATGGATCGTCACCGAGAAACTCGGAGATGCTCTCAAGGCTAAAGCAACCACTAAAGCACCAAGGAAACCTCGATTCAGGTTTGGGGAAAGGTAAAAAAAACAACCTTAAACTCTCGTTAAAATCACCAAACTTATATAGTAATTTTGATACAACTCTCATTTCCTGTTGGCAGACTCCATTTGTTGGAGCTTTATATTGGAGCATTCCTCTTCTTCTGTGGCTGCTACGATTATGCGTTCGGGAGAAACTACTACTTCGTATATCTTAATTCAATCGATTACTTTCTTCGTCGTCGGAATCGGATACATCGGCACCATCGTCCCCAACACTTAAAAGCAACTTCCGGGGCTGTCGGCGGTGTGAATAGCCAAGAAATTAAGGGAAACCCAATAAAATTTTATGTTGTCACAGGGATGATAAGGAGCAAATGGAGGCAGTTTCATGGTTTAGACCCCAAATAGTATAGGGATGGTTTTGAAACGAATTGCTTGCAATTTTCATTTTTCTTAATAATCAAAAGTATTATCTTCAGCGTTTAATGCAACAAGCAATGGATGACCATTTTCAAATATAAAAATTCAAACTAATGATCAGGTTTACTATACTAGCCACAAATAAAACCTGGAAGTTCCCGAACTAAAACATGTCATTGCCAAGGCTTGCAACAT